GGGGCCCGCTTGGTCGCATTCGACAGAATTTCTGAAAACCCAACAGGGTTTCCCAAGAATTCGCAAGAACGCGCGGGCGATTTTTTTTGAAAAGATAGAATGCGAACCATTGGTCTTTATCTGATTTCCAGAACCTCGATGTTGAAATCCTCGCGAAGCCACTGTTTTATCGAATAAATATGCACGCGCGCAACGGCGCGAGCGCGCGGCAGGTGCGAAATACGCGCACGGGATGGAAGCCGATGACTTGGGATTAACGGGAGCGCGCACTGCATGAGCTGAATGGATGGGGGGATGGTCCGAGTGCACATCTAGAACCTAGAAAGAACGACGGGGCAAAATCATATGTAAATATCGCTATCCCCGAGGAGGGGGATAACGCAAGGGGGGCCCTACTTTCCTGAGAGCGCAAGATCTACGCGGCGCAACCCTGCCGAACTTCAAACCGTTCAACCCCGCTGCCCACGCCATCACCCCACCCCACCCCACGGGCAACTTGGCCGCGGCCGCACCAGCGCGAGCAAGCTCGCGCGTAGAGCGGCCGCCTACTTTGGCGCGACCGACGCGGCCGCGGCAGCGTTGACCGCTGGAGCCTCCCCCGCGCGTCTCGCGGGCCGCGCCGGCGCAGGCCGCGCTGGCGCGCGGGCGCTTCACCGCGAGTCGGGCGCTCGGGAGGGCGCACTTTAATGGCGACGTCGACAACGGCAGACACGACAATGATGATAGCGATGCTGGCGACGACGATAACGATGACGACGGCAAGGCCAATTGCGGCGCCGATGATGATCACGCCGATGACAATAATAGCGCCCGCGCGTCGGCGATGATGGTCGTGGAAGGATTTCGACATGCGCGCGCGGCCGACGGTCGCAAGTGGCGACCCCCCCTGAGGAAAAACGTGCAAAAAAATTCACGCGACGCCGACACGCGCGCGCGAGGCCCGCGCGGTCGAATTTGATGAACGCGTTCGGAAGCCGACGGTTGCCGCGAGAATTCACAAGACCGCGCGCAGACTGAATGAAAGAGGCACCATTCAACAACAACTGTCTTGCATGTGTCGGAAAACTTTCAAACTTACACAAAGAGTTCGGCACGCACGCAACGACGCGCGCGTCGACTCTGTCCGATCTGCCGCAAAGGACCATTGAAAGCTCACGACTGCGATGAACAAGCGCGCGCATAGCACTGTGTGTTCCAAGGATGAGGGGGGCGACGCCGGCTGGGCCGGGATGGCATGAACTCATACTTCGGATGAGCTGCATGGGGAAGAATCACACATGCACTGCACATTCCCACGGGCGACTTATAAGACCAGGGGGCGATAGATGTTGATTCGTTTGAAGAACTGGGATTTTCTCAAGCCCTTGGATTGGTCAACCCCACAGCACGCGCAACCACCCCACCCACCCACCCGCCCATCCACAACTTGGCTTGAGAAACCCTTGCGGCGGCTCACTGGCTGGCGCATCGGCGCGGCCACACTGGCGCGCGCAAGCTCGCGCGCAAAGCGGCCAGCTGGTTTGGCGCAACCGACGTGGCCGCGGTGGCGCTGGCCGCTACTCCCCTCC